GCACTCCCAGGAGGGCTCCCTTGACTGCATCAGGCCTCGGAGAGGCCCAGCACGGCTGCAGGGGTCCCTCAGGAGGGCTCCCTCGACCATGCCAGGCCTCGGAGAGGCCCAGCACAGCTGTGGGGGTCTTCCGGGGTGCCATTTTGTGTTCCAAAATGGCGCTCAGAGTCTCGCATGACCTTTCCCATCGCGGGGCAGGATGGGAAAGGTCACGCGAGACTCCGGGCGCCATTTTGGAACACAAAATGGTGCCCCGGAGGACCTCCATGGCCACAAAAGGTGGCAGTGGCGGCGGTGGCGGCGGCAGCAGCAGCAGGACCGGGCAGGGGCTGGTCAGCAGGCATCGGCGGGCCAGGTGCGGCCCACGGGCCGTAGGTTACCAACCCCTGGCTTAAACAAACAAAAAATACATTAAAAAACCTATTTTCCCCTTCCCAACCCTCGTCAAAAGCAACATAAAGTAGCCAGGCAGTCTTTATGCACATGCCAAAGAAAGACTCTCCCTTACTCCTCACTGGCTGCTGCCCATTTTTATTGGTTGTAAGGTGCTCAGCAGAAAACATCCACCAGCTTTAAGAAAGAGGAAAAGAGCATGGGCGATCCAATTGTCTGTATTTGAACTTCAGATACACTTGCTTATTCCTCAAGTCAGCCTCATAGAGGGTGAGGAGACATCCTCTTTTTCCAGGACATGTCTTCCACTTTAGCCTTCTGTCCAGGAGGAATTCCAAAGGTCCTCCATTTTGCACATGATTAAAAAGTATGCATTTACATTTATAGAAGTGTGTTTAGCTTTTCTTTGGTCATGTCCTCCATTTTTCTTGAATCTCCTACATTTTGCAGTGCCTTGTCCTCCTTTACAGTAAGGACATCTGGTCACCCAGACCTCATATTTTCTTAAAGGGCCCATCCTCCAAACTAAAAGATTTTTTAGCATCCCATTAAGTCAATAAAAGGACACACTTTCCAGCTTTCAGTTAAAGGAATAGCTTATAATACCTGCCAATCCTACAACGAAAAAGATTTCCAGCCTTCAAATGAAGGACATGGCAATCCTACTTCCATAAAATATTGTCATGGCAATCGAAGTGCAACCATAATGCTACAACTGTGCAGTGTGAAAGGGCACATGTAGTACTGATCACTTGGAAAATGATATAGGGACAGCTGAACATGTGCAGACTTAAATCTGTGCCAGTGTAGACTTCCAGAGCTGGGACTTGCCTTGGAGTGTCCCTAATTTTTGGTCATCATGTGATGCTTCATGTGTGTCACTGGTAGTATGATGGAGGGGGTTGGGTGCGGGCCGCACCAGGTGATACCCCAGAAGGGGAGTGACACTTGGTTGGCCCCCTGTCCCCTGAGGATGCTAGGCCTATGTGGAGGCTGTTCCTCAGGCTTTCTCAGGCCTCAGGGCTGCTCCTTGGGCCTTTGTGGGGCTGCAGGGCTGCTCCCCGGGCCTTCCCTGGCTGTGGGGCTGCTCCCTGAGGCCACATGGGTGCATCTCTGGCCCACATGGGCATGCTCCCATGTGGCCCACGCAAACTTCTGTGTGCCCCATGCCCCCAGAAGTCCGCCAGAAGTCCCACACCGGAAGTCCCCCCCAGAAATCCCTCCCTCCGCACCGAGTGTCACCCGTTCCGCGAATGCCACTGCATGTCACAACAGAACTGAACTTGTACTTTCTCACATTTTGCTGCCATTTGATCACACCGTATATATTTTCCATCTATAGCCATGAATATATGTTTTTTTTCTACCGACTGATTATAAAACTTCATATATCAAATGAAGTGAGCTCCAGTGCATGCCAGATGCCACAAGCTGCTTTGTTGTTTTTCCCAGGAAAACGGGCATAGAATGGCAGCTTTTAATCATAACTTGGATTCAGATAATTTGAATCCTAAAGAGAGAACCAGTGTATTGAGGCTTTACTATTTGAGGTTTCTACCTCCATGGTATTTGAGGTAAAACGATGTTGTTTTTTTAATCGGGAGTGCATTGACACGCATTAACCACACTTAAAAAGTTTTCCTGATATAAAAGCATAGAGGCTTCCTGAGAAATTCAGTGTTTTCTGCCTAACAAAGGAGCTTGTAGCCTCACAAAGGATTTGAGACAAACTGGGTCTCAAAGGCAGTAGCTTTTTGGCTTGCTAATGGAATTTAAAGTTTAAATTTAA